TTAATTTATATTTTATTAATAATTTTTTCACTATAAACATAAAATTGAAATGGAAACCGCTCCAGAAATTGTGGCTTTTATATTTTTTAGCGATTTGTGCAAATCACTAATATTACAATTCATGTAGATACATATACCCAAAATACTAAGCCGGAAGTTACATTGATAAGCTAGTAATTTGTTTCCTTAATTGGAAATACAAATTTAATTTCTTAAGTGTTAAAGTCCTACAATTTTGTAAGGCAGATCTCAATTTCTAAAGAATCTGCTTATATATCTAAACGATCTCGTTTTCGTGATGAACATCGAAACGAATCGAGGTTACTGCTTCTGCTATTGATCAAGTTTAACAAAGAAAGTTGAAATTTAAGTTCAAAGGACTCTGTGGTCCTCAACAAACAAGCGAAACAGTTGCGTTATCCTGTCTGTTACGTACCAACTTGAAGTTCTACATCTAAAGATCTTACAACAAACTTGGCTTGCTTCGCTACAATTTATGAGATAAAATCTTTATACTTAGCGAATTTTCCCCACTAGATTTATGGGTATTTTACCACGAAACTGATATCAATTGGAAATGTACTTGGTTAGAAAGCTTTTCTGACTCCAATATTCGGATTTTTCGTCGATATGGTTATAAAAATTTAAATATTCTTTCACCTAAGACGATGCATATATACATATGCTCTCTATTCTTGCTTTATCTACGTCTTATTCATAAAGTTATAAAAATATATAAATACTACCTACAAAGTGCCTATATTTAACAAAAAAAGCACAAGTTTATGTATTTTATTGGCTAAAACATTAAATGGTGCAAGTTGATTTACTTAACTCCATTTACGCGGGAAATTATTCTAAAATTCTGTCTGGCATGGATATATCTTATAAAAAAGATACTTTACATATGCTAATTCTACAGAATATAACTTTTTCCTGTTGACCTAGAAACATGAAATTTGAAATACTAGCATTTGAAATGCAAACACAAAATAAAAATCCCTATTTTTATCTTGCATTTAAATACTGTTTTGAGAAAAGCATTTTGTAATTTTATTGAAAATATTTTTCCAAACGTATTTTCTATTTGTAAAATGCAAAATACATTTTTACCGTTAAAATCACCGATCGAGCATTATATAAAATGATGAATGAAATTGCTCACATTGGTCTTTGAAGGTATTAGAAGCTTAAAAAAAGGGACAAAGGGACATTTCATGAATGCCTTCTAATTCTTTAATTGAAGAGAGCCCAAAAAATTCTAAACTCCTTGGAAATGGATAATTTAAAATATTGGATCGATATTGTTTTCCGAGTTCAATGTCATGGTCCATGGAATTTCGAAATTCCGAATTGATATCAGCACCTGCCAAATCACCACTTATCCTACCTTTAGCAAGGAACTACAAAATTCTATGGATTACGACAAAACAGCCCACAAAACAATATCGAATTGATATACGCCAGCTGTGTAAAACTGAAAACTGCAAGATATTGTGATTGGCTAATAAATGCGTATAATACAAACTTTTTAGAAAACGATTCGAAAAACTTCACTTATTAGATGAACACAAAGCTAAAAACTATGGACTCCAATTCTTTCTCTTATTACAATGTGTAAAAGATCGGAAACAAAATGGGGTTGTAAATATTTTGATACAAAATGATTGATGTTCATTTTACATCAATAAAATTATTAGCAACCCTAATTTTGCTCTGATGTTTCACGGTAAACAAACTATTCTGGCATCAGTGTCTTGTTTCAAATTAAAACGGGTGACAAGGACAAATAAGGAAGCATATAGAAAAATTATTTGTTGCTTACTCCATAAAAATAAGAGTTGAATGGTTGTACCGGGAAACGCCCATACAGAAAATGTTTCAAATTCAATAAAACTTATTTTGAAAGCGACAAAATAAATGTCAATGATTGAAGGATTTTGCAGTGCCATAGGGCAAAACATACCTTAAAAAGAAATCTAGTCTTTAACATGTTTTAACGAAACGCTGTTTAAATTCCAACTATTATTACTTGTATACTTTGTAGCGAATCTTTTACGGTTCTGGTTAAGGTCTTTCTCGGAATTTTCTTTTAAAAGGTTCATTGTTGCACGACACTTTCTTCCGTCAAGTGGAAATCATGAATTGTTTTTTTATGATGCATAGACAACATGTAGTTTCATTCTTCAGAGTGGCGGAAAAACCATTGTACATAGCAAAATCTTCCTTTTGAAATAAAACATTTAGTGGTTTTATAATCTTTGCGCCTTTTTTAGGTTACTTTTAATTCTTTTGTTTTTATTTCAAGGCATTCCTCAAAGTATTCTATCTAATTCTGTTTTAAGAGAAGAAACTGGCGTAATATAAAAGGTCGAATTTCTACTATAAACGCGATTTTTTTAAATTTACTTACATAAAATTTTCATTTTTATTATTACATTCTGTTTTGTAACTGTATTAGAATTTTGAAGAGAATTTTGCGATAATCTTTTTAGTACATCTTGGTCTTGATTTTCGTCTTGTTCATTTATCAGTATTGGTTTTCATCATCATAAGTTTGTCAGTAATAGGACTCATTGGACACGCACCTTCACTGTTTCCTATCCTGAGCTAATCTTCGCATTTCCCCAAAACTAGAACAACCCACATCCTTAACTATTTATCTAATCTGATCTACCTCTACTCGTCTTAAATTCTGTTTCTTCCTCTAATATGTCTCTGACTAGACCTTCATGCCTGAGAAGGTGTCCTACCAACCTATTTCGCCTACTTTTTATTGACTTCCGTAGACTCCTCTGTTGCCCTATTCGTTCTAACACCTTTTCATTTCTAATCTTCTCTATCCTCGGTAGCTTCATCATTCGCCTGTAACACCACATTTCGAACGATTTTAATCTTTTCTTTTCGGCCTCGCCCACCGGCCATGTTTCGCACCCGTATAATGCCACGTTCCAAACATACACCTTTAACAATCTTCTTCGAATTTCTAAATTAACCGTTCGTGAGCATAGAAGTGACTTCTTTTTATTGAAGGCGACTCGACCCTACGCTATCATCTGCTTTATATCCCTACTACTCCTTCAGTCTTGACTTATCTGACTTCCTAGATACCTAAAATCAGCCACTTCTTCTAATTTTTCATATGTTATCTTTATATGCGCTCTTTTCCTATTTTGTCTTCCCTTGCATGCCATATTATTTTTGTTTTACTTTTATTTATTTTCATACAACACTGAAGCTATTATCACGTATTTTTTATCTGATCGCAATGCTCCAGTTATGCAATTTTTGTTCAGATTCCAAGCGTGTCACTCAAACAGATCAAGTACTTGACCTACAAACGGTCGTAACACGTATTGATTCCTTTTTCTAGGGACTCTCGAAGAAAATCTTTTATCGTTTACCATCCGTTTTGTGGTAAAGTTAAAGACCGTCTCCAGTCGGTGTATAATCCTCCACTTCTTTTCTTATTAATCCTTTTTTAAGACCTGCGAACTACCTTTGAACAATATCAATATCCCACAAAATTGTGTAGTTATATAGTATTCTCTTACATTTTACAATTACAAAAAGTGTTTCTCATTTTGTTGAAACTTCCAGACGAGGAATCTCATCAGCACGTCTTTGACAGCTACCTGTTACCAATTTACTTAAATGAGTATTGACAATGCAGTGAATGCCATCTGTGCAAAATCACTCTTCATTATGAAATTCAATAATATTTGACAAGTCCTTTGCTAATAAGGATATCGTCTTGTCAAAGAAAAGGACTACAATCAGTTAAATCGTCTTTAAACTACACCTCCACCTCTCCGATCCATATCCAAATCCCTTTTCTGTTGTCATCCCTATTAAAAAGAAACTAAATTGGAACTTTTCTCTGGCAGGCATTTTTCATGAATCAATTTAATTTAGGGAATCACCATAAGGTCCTCAGTGTATCCAGGAATACGATTGATGAATAAAAACTAAAAATTAATTTTGAAAAAAAGCTTGAAATTGTATCAATTTTTTACAAATAAATGAAATATAAATAGTTTTTTATGATGAAAATTTTACGAATAAAATTACAAGATACATCATGGCATTGCATATAGATTTGGGCATTTCCAGGACTTGTAATATTTTTAAAAGTTATTTAAAACTAGTCCTAAAACTGGTTAGACATGCACCTCCACTCTTTCCTATCCTGAGCTAATCTTCGCATTTCCCTAGAACTAGAACAACCCACATCCTTAACTATTTGCGAACACTAATCTAATGTAGGTCTATCTCTACTCCTCCTAACTCCCGTCTCTGCTTCTAAAATGTCTTTGCTAAATTATTAATTATGAAAATCTTTATTTTATTTCAGCAGCTAAATGTTCAGGCCCCAGGTGCGCAGCTGATGTGGATATTTGTAATATTTATTAAAGTCACCGGTAAATATTTAACTACCTACTTTAAGCTAACTAATTTTCAACCTCATACTTTTATTAAACTTTTCTTGACTTTATTATACATTTCTCAATATCTATTACAAAACTCACCTATTAACAATTTAGAAGTCTCTCCACCTGTACTTTGTTGTTTTACAAACAAAATTTCATACCAGCGGATAAACTATTTGAAAACAATATTCATCATAATAAACATCAACCACTGAATGATTGATAAGACATCAACCATAGACATCAACCTTCAACCCAGAAATTATAGGGGAACATCTATGGAGGGATCAACACATTAACTATAATGAGTGAAGAAGAAATATATGTAGGTAAAGCAGATATCGTTTCTGTTAGTATCAGTTATCGCAATTAATTTGTCTTTAGTATGAAGATGGCCCTACAGAGTGCTTTCTTATTTACTTTTTAAAAACTTTTTGCAGCTTTTAAATTTTGAATTTAATTTAAATGATTATTGGATAAAAACATATTAAAAAAATTGGTCTGAGCACATTTTGGTCGGTGCTAATACGACTAACTTCCCATTAGATAATACAGTTATTGTAAAGTACATTCGTTTCTAAAGTTTGAAAAAAACGCGGCACAATAATAAATAACAAACAATGTTTGAGAGTTCGTCATTTTATAAACCCATAAGAAACAGTATTTCGTCTGAGAAAACCGAATTGATAGAGTACTTGCATCAGTCAATTGGTAAATACTATTTTTTATTGTTTATCGATTGTTTATAACAATTCATTTTGTTATAAACAAATTTTTATTATAATATGTTATTATAATATGTTATTCCCTGTCTTGAATAATGATATTTCGTTATTATTGATTCCGTAACTTCATTGTTGTGATTAGATTAGAACGTATTTTAATTAAATTGTTTGTAATTAATTCGTTTTTTTTTTTATAAAAAAAAAACGGCTTGACCGATTTCGTTCAAATTTCTTTCAGATCTTCATTATGATAATATCTTTCGAAAAAATTTTGGTTGAGGGCGATATCTCAATCCGTTCTTGAGATATCGAAAACGAAAAAAATGCTGACATACGAACGTACGTACATACGTACGTACGTACGTACGTAC